ATCAGTCCGCGGCCTTACATTATGTACTGTCTATATTAAGGACTTAGAGCAGGTGCGGGTGGCATATAATGTTTTCAGATATGCTGCCGGTACAAAAATAGGTGGGAGGACATAAGGAACCTGCAATAGCTTGATGAACTGGATAAAATCGTGACAAATGGAGTTTAAGTAGGAAAGTGTGAGGTCGTGCGCTTTGGGAGGAAGAATCAAAAGACAATTTATTATTTAAAGGGAGAGAGCCTCCAAAAAAGTGTAGCACAGAGGGATCTACGTCTTCTGTGCAAAACTTCCAAAGGTAATGCAAGTGTGGCAAGTAATTAAGGAGGCAAATGGGTACAACATAATTTGCCTTGATATCTGCCTGGTTTCAGTGAAGCCATCTCAACAGGACAGCTATTTCACACTAATGCTCTTGAATTGAAACCTCTTTCCACATCACTCTGTGACCCACAAGTTTAATTCTCTAATTTGTTTGACCTGTTCCAATCTGCAATTCACTCATTCTCAATTTCAATCACAGTTTCTCAAACTTTTTTTCTGCCTATGTCTTTGGTTTCTGTGTGGACCATGGCAATTATGTGCTTTTTGTCTCAATGATTTGGCTGTGTTCAGCCAAACCTGGAAAGAACTTGAAGCGCTTGAATGAAATATTTGTTTACAGAGATTCAATTTGGTCATAAACTTGGCTAAAAGTGAATTTGCCAAAGCAAAATTCCAGTCTTTGTTACTGAGTTGACTTTGTGATAATCTGTATACAATCATGATTAATCTGGTCTTGATACTGTTGCAGCAGGTGATCTCCAATTACTAGGAGTGAGTTCAGTAATGTCATTGTCTATTGTGACCTTTATCGCTTCTCTGGATTAAATGTGTAAACATTTTGTTTTATGGGCAATGTCTTCTGTTCTCGCTCCAGTTTCTTTTGCAAAAGCAAGGATTTATTTGACGCTAGCACCGGGCAAGCAACGCAGGCTTCCAAACTGAATTAGTTACTTAGTAATTTAGTAAAGCAAATTTATAGCAAGTTATACTTTGAGAGTCTATAGATCAAGAAAAACATGAGCGAGCCAAGGGAGATAAAAGAAATTAAAAAGTATCTCTTTCCTTCTCTTCTGCACAAAATTTCTGACTCTAGCAGTCTGTTCTCGGTTCTCTGAATGTTCAGTGCTCCTCGCTTTCTTGTATTTTGGCACTTATTTCAGCCATCCAAAGATCACTTAGACACCCCACAGTTATTGATCTGTCAAATTTACTGAATTGACAAGTATAAATTTTTAAAATCAAATGTGATGTGAGAATATCACTAATGGTACATTAATAATCTTTTACTTTCAGTCTCTCTTACAACATTACCTACTGCTTAAATGAGATCCTTGTCAAACTTTGTAAGTACAGACTTAATTTAACCATTGTTATTTAAGCGTTATTGATCCTAATCTACACAAGATATCTTCAACTAGCAAATCATTTTTTAGGTCTCAAGTCTCAATTTTAAAAATATTTTGGCGCTGCAATGGTGTCGAATAAATTAAGATTCACTTTGCCCTGTTATAAATTTCTATAATTAGATGTCAGTTTGTCTAGTTCATCCATTATCTAGCCATGTTATTGTGGCCATTTTGAGGATCGAAGGTTTCTGCCACTAAATGTGGGTTAGACAATCTTATAATTTTCAGCTTCCAATTGGTGTTTTGCATTCAAGGTTGTTATTTTTAACTTCACATTTGACAGTCTAAAAGGCAAAAGAATATCTATAAAAATGATCATGAGAAAAGATTTTATAGTGAGGTATTATGGAATTGCTTTTATTAAAAATTCAGTTCTTGCCTCACATTTAAACTGGTTTGCTTAAGATAGTGGGCTTCCTCTTTTCCAACTGACTAGTTGTACATTTTTCATTGAGGTATGTACTAGTAGCATCTTACACAGCCTGTTTATATCTTTGTAGCTTCACAGAAGAAAAGCAGTCATGGAGAACTAAAGAGATAGCATAAAACTAAAAGGGCTTATTAAAATGCAAAAACACAGCACAGATCCTCCCAAATTGGCAAGATACAAAGATCGGCAAAGGGCCACAAAGCAGTTTATAAGAACTACAAAAATGAATAATGAATGAAACTTGCAAGGGACATCAAAATCAATGAGAAATTTGTAGTTACAATCATATGAGTGAGCAGCATATCAGTCAAGCATTTTGAGATAAGCTAGTGGAGTAGATGTGAAGTGACAGTGTCTCGAGACAAGTAATCGAGACATTGAGCTAACGTGTGGGGACACTGGTTCAGATCACACCATGGCAGCTGGTGGAATTTGAATGGCATTAATAAATCTGGAGTATGAAGCTGGTTTTGGTTATGGTGACAATGGCAACAACGATCGATTGTCATAAAAACCTATTCAGTTCACTGCTATCATTTTAAGGAAGAAATTCTGCCTGCTTTACCTAGTTTAGCCTACACGTGACTTTTGATCCACAGCATTGTGATCTACTCTCAACTGTCCTGTGAAATGACCCAGCAAGCCACTTGGTTCAAAACACAATTAGGGTAGGCAACAAATGCTGGCCTTGTCACTAACACCTACTTCTGATGAAAAAATAAGTTTCTTAAAAAAATTTGTATTTATGCCGCAAAAATGTTGAGTGAATCTTAAATAACAAGGTGTAGAGCTGGATGAACACAGCAGGCCAAGCAGCATCAGAATCTTGTCTGTTTTTGTTCAGAGTTTAACATAAAATATCACATTCACAATGCGTCTTGTCCTGGAAAATTAATTGTGAATATTGAGTTTTGAAATTCATGAAACTTGCCTTGTGAAATGTCTTGGTTGTTGTGGTGAAAATCGGAGCAGAGTTGTCAGAGCAAATTGTTGAATGTGGATTGGCTAGAAATCACCTCCATTGAGATGGAAGTATATGATAAAACATTTTTTTTCAATTTTTTTCATCAACCAGGTAGGGAAAAACCTCGGAAGAGCTGCATAATTGTAATGGCATTGATTTAATTTAGCATAACAGTGGTATGCACTGTACTGGATGCACTCTTCACTTTTTCATATAGCTGAGACCCTTGCACTGGCTTAGGCTTCTGGACTTCGTTTCCTTTAATCCTCTAAACTTGCAAGTCTCTCTCCCAGTCTATTAAAACTGGATAAACTGACTATTTTGAATTAGTGGAGTGTATACTTTGATTGTGACCTTTTCTAAATAATGTACTCTTTTCTTCTCCCGTTGTTTTTGTGGTCTATTCCACTGTTTTTTTTTCTATATAATGGACATTAAATTGTGCCTCTAGTGTACCCAGGTGGTATAACATAAAACATTTTGTTTCATTTCAGAGATGTGACAGTTTCTGGCAAAGCTGTCGTTTTATTGCCTAACCCTAGTTGCCTTTCAGAATGCGGTGAGCCACAATCCAAGTTCTGAATTTTTCTTATTCATTGTGGAAGTCAGCAGCTGCTGAAGAGATCAACATTTATTGCTCGTCCCCACTTGCCAGTCAGGGATGACAATCAACAGTGGTCACATGGTCACTGTTAAGCCAGCTTTTTATTCCAGAATTTTATTGAATTTGAATTTCACCATCTATGAAGCTGGATTCAAAACCATGTCTTGATTGCTAGTTCAGTGACATTACCAATACTCCAGTGTCCTTGATGCTATTTGGAAGAAGTTCTAGAATTTTGATCCAATGAAGGAAGGGCAGTAAATTTCCAAAGGAGAATGGTGAGGCACTTAAAGGGAAAATGACAGTTTGCGGTGTTCCTATGGCATCTGCAGCCCTTGTTCTTTGTAGTAGAGGTTATGGGTTTGGAAGGTGCTGTTGAAGGAGTATTAATGAGTTACTCTCGTGCATCTTGTACATGGTACACACTGGTGTTACTGTGTGCTAGTGTTGTAGGAAGTGATTGTTGTTAAAGGGCTGAATTAGCCGTTGATCGCAAAATCTGCTTTGTCCTGAATGGTGGTGAGCGTTGATTAGAGCTGCACCGATCCATGCAAGTGGACGGTACTCTGCCACACTGCTGACTTATGCCTGCTAGATGTTGAAATGAGGAAATGAGTTATTTGTTGCAGAATTCCCAACCTGATTCATTGTTGTGCTTATACTTTATAGGCTGGTCAAATTATGTTTCTGATCAATGATAACCTTCAGGGTGTCACTGTTGGGGGCAATCCTGCAATGTTAATGTAATTGAACATCATGGAGAGATGTGAAACCATTGAACCTTTTTTTAAAGTGTACTTTAGTTTTCTAATGGCATCATTTTGATGCAAGTGTTTTGTAAGTATTTTCTAAGCAGCATTTCAGAGATGTTCTTATATAACTCTGCAGATGGGACTTGAACCTAGGCTTTCTGGCCCAGAGGGAGGGGCACTATTAGTGAACCACAGGAACCTATCAAATGTTTTGTACCAAAGGTATTCAGATATCCAGCATCTGTTCTCAACCTGAAAGTAATTCCCTGAGCATCTGTTTGGATTTGGCACAAACTCTCTTCTTGAGGGTCTTCTGCTACTGATTCCAAAATATCCCATTGTTGCCAGTGCTGCCCCAGCTTCTGTTCGTTTGCTGTTTGGAGTGTTGTTCCTTGCATGAATTCCTGATCTGGTGATAATTTTTCTTAGATCACAAATGTGTGTCCACCTTGCGTTGCCCACTGTTGAAATTATTTTGGCAGTAACGAGTCATTAGTTTACCAGGTGACAGAAATAAAAGGCAGATGGTGTAAAAGCATTTCTAGAAGCTTGGTATGGAGAAGGAAAATCTTGAGTGGAGTGAGATTACCTCCTGTGAAGAGTGGGAATTCCAATAGAGTGGAGGTTTATCAAGGGTTCCCAGATATGTTTTAAAAAGTTTGATGCTGTAAGTATGCAGTCGAATAAATACGACGCTAACTATATTTTCAGGTTTGTGGTTGAATCGGATTTTGGTGTGGTTTTTCTTTGAGCTAGGCACCATTGAATAAAAATGTATTAAATATATTGATTTTACTTTTAGGCAATTCTCAGTTGGGTGCAACCATTGTGGATGCATTAGATACACTGTACATCATGGGTCTTTTTGATGAATTTCGAGATGGGAAAGAATGGATTGAGAAGAACTTAGACTTCAGTGTGGTAAGTCATAATATGCTCGATAAACCTGTTGCTGTTTTTTCTTCTCAGTGGCCTGTTTCCATCTTGTTATGGAGTGAGTTGTTTTCAGTGGAAGAATTGCCAGATGCGGCATATTCACAATTAACTAGTAAATTGATCTCCCATAGCACTTCACATGGAGGTTAAACCCATCATCCTGTATTTTGCTCTCTCATTGCTTCCATCTCTTTGTTGTGTGCATTTTCTTTGATGCCCTGTCTACTGCCATGTCCACAATCCAACTCAAAAGAGGCAGGTGGTGGAAAAGGAGGAAGACCAGATCCAAAACAGTGGCTTTGCAGGTGCAGATAGAAATATAGCAGTCTAATTGAATCATAGAATTGCTACAGTGCAGAAAGAGGCCGTTTGGCCCATCAAGTCTGCACCAGCCCTCTGAAGAGCATCCCACCCAGAACCAGACTCCTACCCTGTCCCCATAACCCTGCATTTACCATGGCTAATTGATCTAACCTGCATATCCTGGGACTTGATTGGGTAATTTAGCGTGGTTGGTCCACCTAATCTGCATGTTTATGGACTGTGGGAGGAAACTGGAGAACTCGGAGGAAACCCCTGCAGACACTGAGATCATGCAGACTCCAGACAGACAGATAGTCACCCAAGGCTGCAATCAAACCCAGGTCCCTGATGCTGTAATGCAGCAGCGCTAACCACTGAGGTGCCGTGCTGCCCTTAGGGCACAGTGAAGTCATGAGAGGATCGGAATTCAGATTATGGCTTGCTGGATTGAGTTGAAATGGAGACAAGGGAGGAAGCTGCAGTAGTAAGTATTTTACTTGTCATCTACAGAAGAAATTTATAAAAAATGTAGAAATTCCAGTTGTTAAAAAGTGCTTTAACCACATCCAAGTTTATGCGGATCCAAAAGTAATGTGATTGGGCAGAAATAAGGCCCTGAATTTCCTGGAAACTTTCACCATTCAAATGGTGTGTGTACAATGTTAGTTTCGCTAGTAGCCACACAAGTGATTTACACCATTGTTTTCTGGACACCATGATTTACCGAGATTGAAACTTTAGGATTACTTCACCACTACCCTCGTCAATTGCAGTTCATTACCAGAACTCCAACCACAGCTGAGTCGGTGATGATGGCAACTTCCTGAAGTTTGTTAGTTTATTTGCCACTGCTTTTACACTGAGTTCATGATTTCAAAATAACTGGTTAAAGTAAAACAAAATCTCTGTATTTAATATATTAAATTCTTAGTTAAAACTCATTAAAATACTGACTTGTGTTTGTGTTTAGTTTGCTATATTATGCCAGTGGTGAAAAGAACTTGAATGTTTGTACATGTAATTGATTAAAGTGAAAGTGGCACAGAAGGAAAAGCTTGAGATGCTTTCTGGCTCAACAGGGTCGATATGCTTGCAACAATCACCAGAAGCTGGAGGCCCAAAACTCATTTTGTTGTTGAGCTTCAGACTTCTCATAAATAATTCTAGTGAAGTGTGAGTACCTTAATTCTGCCTTAGGAATTTGCTGAATCAATTGTAAGGGGCCTTCAAGTAGGTTTGCAAATGTCAGTAAAGGGATTGGTGGGCAGAACCTAGGTTGTGTGAATGGGCTGCTAGAAATCCAGAGTTATGATATGGAAACAGAATGTTATTGCACCTGCTGTACTTTCAGACTCCAGTAAGTTTAAAAGAAACAAAAACAAACTTTAACATTGGGAACGTCAAATAACCTAAAAACTTTAAGTTAAGCATCAAAAGGATCTAGAAAACAAGCTTGGTCTGTAGCAAGCTTTTGACCAAGGAGCTCATAAACTGACTTTTAACCATATGCAGCATTAATACGTGTTTCATGCACTGTTAAGGACGCTTGAAAAGATAAACCTGAACCAATTTTATGTTCAGTAGATTTCAGATACACTTGGGGAATAGCAGACAACTAGCAAAGCTGGATCCATATGCCCCTGACATCTATACAATGCTAGTTGGAATACTTATCTGGTATTAATACAACACAGCCTAACCCTGTTTATTCCTGTCCCTGTGCTCTGTAGAACGCGGAGGTCTCAGTGTTTGAAGTCAATATCAGGTTTATCGGAGGCTTGCTGGCTGCCTATTATCTTTCAGGAGAGGAGGTATGGTAAAGCTGGTTTTTTTTTTCTCCAAAAATTAGTAAATTTCTTTCGTTCCTTTGTAGTTTTGGGCATTTTGCAGATTACACTGTTCATTTTTGTGCAATTTCATCAAGGCAAGCAGAGAAACGCAAGAATGGAAAATATAATCACAATATTGATTAACATTTCCAGTATAGACCCCATTTCAGATCAAAATATTAGCATTTTCTTTTGAAATATTGGCAAACCTGTTTGTGTTTCTAGCATTTTCTGAGGTGTTCAAGTTCAAATATTTCAAATATGAGCTTGTTTCCAAAATGCTCCCCAGTAAAGTTGTTTTTTTAGTACATTCCACTGCTGGGAAACTAAAGTAGTTGTCCAGGTTGTTGTGGGTTAGTCACCTATAATTCGGCTACTTATTTGGAAATCTCATAGGGGATCAAGTACTGAAACATTGATTTAAATTTTATTGTATGTAGCAACCAAAATAAGACCCCTCAAGTAAGCAAGTTAAGCCTCTCAACTCAACTTGATAACAACCTGATCAATGGTAGAATTTAACTACAATTCCAACCAACGGTGTCTGTCTCTAGATGTGTCCAGGGTTTGATCCTTGACCAGCATCGTTCTTTGAAGTTCTGCTGCTGAATTGTTGGATTCTTATAGAATTTTTTCTCTTTCAAGTTTGGGTTGTGCCATTATTGACGATCCTTTAGATTCTTTCATCCCCAACATGGATTATACTTCTGGAGGCCTCAAGTGTGTCGCTTGCCTTCTTATCAGAAGTAGCTCTTGTATCCCTAGTTACATTCGGCCTTAAATGTTTGAAACAACCTGTCCTGCAATTAATCCCTTTATTTCAGGACATTATTTCTGCCGACAGTCTTAATTGACCATTTGTCATGAGGTAACAGATTATCAAGCAACATTATCTCCTCTCTCCCAGGAAACAACTTGTTTATGTTGTTTCGACTCTTCTTCCCAAGGATGTCAAATTAGCTTGTTGCTTTTAATTCCTTTATAAAGTTTCCCTGTGTTCCTTTCATCTCCGGAAATAATTTCTTCCAAATGACAGTCCAGGGAAAAAATGGCCCAGCCTTTTCAGCCTCGCCCCATAACTTAAACCATCCATCCTGGCAACATCCTTGTAAATCTTTCTGCACCACCTCAAGTTTAACAGCATCATTCCTACAGAAGGGCGACCAGAATTGTATACAATATTCTAAACATGGCCACACCAATGTCCGGTACAGCTGCAATATGACATCCCAACTCTTATACTTAATGTTCTGACCAATGAAGGCAAGCGTGCCAAGCACTGCCTTCACCACCCTGTCTACTTGTGTTTCAACTTTCAAGGAGTTATGCACCTGCGCTCTGAAGTCTCTTTGTTCAACAACACTCCCCAGAACTCTAGCATTAAATGTGTAAGTATTGCCCTGGTTGCCTTACCAAAATGCGGCACCTCGTATTTATCTCAATTAAACTCCATCTGCCACTCCTCAGCTCGTTGGCTCATTTGATTAAGATCCTATTATACTCTTGTGATAATTTTTTTCACTGTCCTCTGCACTAACTATTTTGGTGTCATCTGCAAACTTACTAACCATGCCTCCTATATTCGTAACCAAATCATTAATGTAAATGACGAAAAGCAGTGGACCCAGCACTGATCTTTGTGCCACACTCTGATCTCAGCGCTCCAGACTGAAAGGTAACCCTCTATCACCACCCTCTGGTCTCCTACCTTCAAGCTAATTTCGTATGCAGTTGCTAGTTCCCCCTGGATTCCATGTGATCTAACTTAATCAGTGTAACATGTGGAACCATGTTGAACGCTCTTCAAAAAAAACTCAATCAAGTTAATGAGACATGATTTCCTACGCACAAAGCCATGTTGACTATCCCTAATCGGTCCTTGTATTTCCAAATACATGTAAATCCTGTCCCTCAGAATCCCCTTGAACAATTTACCCAATTCCGGCCTAAGGCTCACCGATCTGTAGTTCCCTGGCTTTTCCTTACAGCCTTCCTTAAGTAATGGAACCACATTAGCCAACCTCCAGTTGTCCGGCATGTCACTGATAGCTAGTGACAATACAAATATCGTAGTAAGGGGCCCCAGCAATTTCCTCCCACATAGTTCTAGGGAACTTATGATCAGGTGCCAGGGATTTATCTGCCTTGATGTGTTTTAAGACCTCCAGTACCTCGTATGAACTCTTTACAAGACGTGACTATTTATTTCCCCAAATTCTCTAGCTTCTGTACCCTTCTACACAATAAATACTGATGTGAAATATTCATTAAGTATCTTATCTGTTTCCTGTGGTTCCACACACAGACTGTCAGGTTGATCTTTAAGGTGCTGTATTCTCTTCCTAGTTACTCTTTTGCCCCTAATATACTTATAGAAACTCTTCAGATTCTCCTTAACTCTCTTTGCCAAAGCCATTTCATGTCCCCCTTTTGCCCTCATAACTTTCCTTTTAAGTATACTCCTACTGTCTCAATTCCAGCTGTCTATACCTGATACATGCCTCCACCATTTTCTTGACCAAGCCTCAATTTCTCTAAGTCATCCAACATTCTGTCCACCTACCAGCCTTGCCCTTCACAATAACAGGAACATATTGTCTCTGAACTCTCGTTATCTCATTTCTAAAGTTCCCACTTCCCAAATGTCCCTTTACCTGCCAATAGTCTTCCCCAAGTTCCTATCTAATAATGATAAAATTGGCCTTACTCCAGTTTAGAACTTTAACTTTTTGATCATTTCTATCCTTTTCCATAATTGTTTTAAAACCAATAGAATTATGACCACTTGCCCCAAAGTACTGCCACTGACACCTCAGTCATTTGCCCTGCCTTATTTCCAAATAGAAGTTCATGTATTGCTCCTTCTCTAGTAAGTACGTCCATGTGTCAAATGAGAGCATTTTCTTGTACACACTTAACAAATTCCATCCCATCCAAGCCTATGACAACATGGCAACCTGAGTCTATGTTTGGAAAGTTAAAATCCCCTACCATTACAGCCCTATTATTCTTGCAGATATTTCAGATCTCCTTGCATATTTGCTTTTGAATTTCCCGCTGACTACTGGAGGCCTGTAATAAAATCCCAAGAATGTGATCAACCCTTATTTCTCAGTTCCACCCATACAACTTCACTGGACGAGCTCCAAGGAATATCCTCCGTAAGTACAGCTGTAGGATGTTATTAAACTGGAGAGGGTGCAGAAAAGATTTACGAAGATGTTGCCTGAGGTAACACTTTTTTCACACAGGATGGTGTGTTTGGAATGAGCTGCCAGAAGAAGTGGTGGAGGCAAGTACAGTTACAAAGTTTAAAAGGCATCTGGATGGATATATGAATTGGAAGGGTTTAGAGGGATATGAGGCAAATTCTGGCAAATGGGACTAGATTAATCTAGGATATCTGGTGTTCATGGATGAGTTGGACCAAATGGTCTGTTTCCGTGCTGTATGACTCTATAAGTGTTAATATTGATTCTTTCAATCCATGAAGTTATTTAAGTTCTGAAGTTTACATTGTCACATGCTGTACTTTAAAATTTTGCTCCATTTAGCAGGGAAAATGAACTCTTAAAATCTTGAGAATGCTTGCTTACAAGTCTAATTCACTCAATTATTGTGGCTGATCTTTGTTAACCTCAGCTCTGACATAGAAGTCAATTCTTTATAATTAGGATATTAATTAAGGTCGTGGAACACTTTGTCACAATGCATTCAGCATCCTTTGCTGCCAGATCTTTATCCCCTTGCTCTCCAAGCACAGTTTCTTCCTCCCAGCCTAAAACTGTAACTGTGCCTTTCTCGTTTTTATCTACTATCTCCAACTTTGAAGGTCCTGTTCTCCGCGTTTCTCATTTGACATCATTCCCATTAATCTGCTAACTACACACTTCCCATCCCAGCTGCTACAATAGTTGACATTGTAAATGATCCTTCTCCTCAAGTGCTATCAATGCCTTTTTCAAATCTTTCGCATGCCTCTCTCCAAAAGAAACACTCACAGTAGCTTTGTTTTCCATTCTCTCTACTTTTATTAATTCATTCATGGGATGTGGGTGTCACTGGCTATGCCAGCATTTATTGCCCATTTAAAGTTTTTGAGAAGATTTGTAGCTCGGGTTGTGGATGAGGTTGTACACTTGCTCACCGAACCGGTGTGTTTGGTTGCAGACGTTTCGTCACTCTGCTAGGTAACATCATCAGTGCGCCTCTGGTGAAGCGTTGGTGTTCTGTCCCGCTTGTTTTTTGTATGCGTTGGTTTGCTAGGGTGGTTGGCATTGCTTCCGGTTCTGTTTTTCCAGTGGTTTGTATATTGGCTCCAGTTCAATGCGTTTGTTGATGGAGTTCTGATTGGAATGCCAGACCTCCAGGAAATCCCTGGCACGTTTCTATTTGGCTCGTGCTATTATGCATGTGTTGACCCATTCAAATTCGTGTCCTCCTCTGTCCATGTGTACTGAGACCGGTAATGAGAATTGGTCATGTCTCTTGGTGTTCATGTATCCTTATTGCCAGTTTTCTTCCAGTTTGGCCTATGTAATGTTTCTCACAGTCCTTGTATAGTATTTTGTTTATTACGTTAGTTTTATTGGTTGTGGGTATGGGATCCTTTACGTTCGTCAGTAGCTGTCCCAGGGTGGTTGTTGGTTTGTGGGCTACCCTATATACATTCTTGTATGTGAGCGGTGGTGTAATTGTAGTTTCTTTGGAAAGGTAATCCAGAATCCCAGGCTAACATTCTGGGTATATGGATTTGAATTCTGCTATGGCAGATAAAATTTTAATTCATTTTTTTCAAAATCTGGTATGAAGTAAAAAACCTCAATTGTCATAAAAACCTATCTCGTTCACTCATTCCTTTTAGAGAAGGAAATATTGCATCTTTCCCTGGTCTAGCCTACACCTGACTCCAGACCCACAGTAATGTTGTTGACTCGTAATTACTGTCTGCGCGATTAGGAGTGAGCAATAAATGCTGGCCT